AAATGCAAGAACCCCAAATGACAACAACATCCTTGGGTTCTGAGCCCGGCCTGCTCTGGGGTGGGCGACTGCAGGTGGGCCTGGGGACTTGTCATTGTTATGTCCCGGGGCTCTGACGCGGCTGCAAGTTGCACCCCCCGGGGTAATCCTTTGCGCCTTTCGGGAGGGGGGTTGGGTCTTCTCTGGTTGCAGTCTCCCTGGGGTCTCCACGCTAAGGCTGTGGTTGGCACTAAATACACTATGAATTATGGCGCAGTGATATTTTGATTTTGTTGTATTTTTGTGTGTCCCCTTTTCTCTCTTTCTGCAGGTCTAGGAGCAGATTCTTGTTCATCATTTATTGTGGACCCACCCCCTCCACACACACACATCTCTTCCTTTTCTCTCCCCCTTTCTCTTTCACTTTCATCTCCATTGATATTTTAAACAACCGAAAATATTTCTAATGAAGTTTTGGTATCAGGCGAGGCAATATAGCAGAATCTATATCGCTCCACCTGTGAGAGAAAAACTGTAAGGCTTGTTTTTGGCATTCAAACATCAATTTTGATTGATTCATAGCTGGACAGGACATGCTAAAAAAAACAAAAGATTTATGGTTTTAATGTGAAAAAAGACAACAACATCCTGACCTTGATCACAGCGCACTCCCTTCCATCCGGGGCTACAGTAACATGTTCCCGTCATGTGATCACACGTGGAGTTATTCAGACAGTCGCAGAGCTGGCGGCAGCCATACCCGTATGAACGGTGAGGACATTCTGAAAATAAAACAACACTTTTGACACCTGGGTCAACTTTGTTGAGTTTCTTATTAATAACTGTACATCTGTGGATACTAAAAAGGTCCAAACGTACTTTGCTCACAGTTTTGTCCCATGAAGCCGGAGCGACACGAGCACTTTCCAGAGATGTGGTCACAATCGGCTCCATTCTGGCACCAGCAGGTCTGAGAACAGTCCTTCCCATGAAAGCCCAGAGGGCAGCCTGCAAAAAGGTCCCTGTTATCACAGACTGGAAAAATCTCAAGCTTTACTCTGAAATATTCTGTTACGGACAGTTTGGCTTCAGAGGAGAAAAATATCAAACATCCTAACAAAATTCTATCAGTCAGTCCTTCCACGGCCCAGTAAACACTGATTCAGTTATTCATTCATCTTCTGTAACCGCTGCTTCCGTTAGGGAGATGTCTACTACTTGTGTTTAGTTTTAGAGACATCGGCTGTTGGAGACCAGTGTGTGACTAACGTTGTGTGCAGAACAGGCCCGTCCATCCAGCGCTGCATTTACATTCTCCGTCATAGGCACTGCAGTGCGCTCCGTTGTGACAGTTACACGTGTGGATACAGTTGGGCCCCCAGTGACCCGGTGGACACGCTGCAACACAAATAAGATAACTGAATGCTAGAGCCGGTGTCAGCTCAGAAAGAACCACTGAAAATATTCTTCTGGTTTTAGAGGGAAAACTCACGCTGGGAGCAGTCACTGCCGATCCATCCTGGATAACACTGACAGGACCCATCAATGGGGTTACAGGTACCGTTGTTGGTGCAGCTGCAGCTCCACGCACAGTGCTTCCCAAACCGACCACCAGGACACACTGCACACAGTTCACATTCATGTTCTTCATCCCGGTTACCTCACTGAAGGTGTAGGGTCTCAACAGGAGCTAACATGGTAACCATCAATGAAAGGATTTGTTTTCAAACCAAAAATCTTTCAGAAATCTGGAACATGTACATTTACTCTTTTAACTTAACTTCTGAGCAGCAATCTAAAAATACAATAAGAGCTTTGATGCTTTGTTTTATTCACATTGTTAGAATTATGCTTCTTTTACTCTATGAGGCTTGAAAGGTCACAGCAAGCATGTTTGTGATCTTGGTTCAGTACTGGGCTGGATTATTGGTCCTTTCTGGCTTCTGAGGAAGACCTGTTAGATGGGGTGGGGGGTCCATTACCCTTGCCCTCAAAATGCCTTGACACGGCCCTGGGTGTGGGACTTTGGAATCTGTCTACTCTGTAGGGTCAGTAAGTGTGGTTACATGCACATCTAAGTCCAGGTATGGAAATAATCACACACACCTGAGTGGGAGCCTTTATCCTGGTTTAAGATGTCAGTTAGAAAATCAAATTATTGAATGAAGTGTGTTCGACTCCATGACAGTTGGTGGTGACAACAACACAACAGCACAGTACATTTGTTATGTAGTGTACCGTTTGATGATGTTACCCATCAGATTCACCCATAGTCTCGTGGAGATGATATCACCATTGCCTTATCACTTCTTGAAAGGGGAGTGCTTGGGCTGGCCATAGCTCGGCTGAGCTGGGACGTTGTTTATATGCTGAGAAGTTCAATTTTCTGGGTGCCTAAGCTCGATTAGGAGTGGTCTAGTTAGTTTCAACTTCAGCCGGACCAAGGTGTGTACATGCAGTTAAAAAGCCTAAGGCAACAGTTTGACTGACACTGCATGTAAACACACTGAGTGTTGTGTGGGGGACTCACCTTCATTACACAGCGTCCCCCTGAATCCAGGCAGACAGTCACACTGACCCATGATGTGATGGCAGGGCCCATTACTGTGGACACACTGAGGACAGGTCTGACTGCAGCGGTGACCAAAATACCCCGGAGAGCAGACTACACACAGAAAACACAACAAACAGTTTCCTGGTGGGTTTTATTTCTGCTGACAATACTCAGCTCTGCCTTCCTTTCAAGGCTAATATTGTTAAATTATGCAACTTGACTAAATGTTTAACCAGTATCAGACAGTAGTTTATAACCGGTTTATAACCATGGTGCTATCTCTGACTCTGCTCTGTCCTGGATTAATGAAAAACATCTTTCAGCTAAGAAATCTCTCTAAACTCTGGTGTCCCTGCAAATAAAACTAAGCATCGGGACTTCAGAGGGGACATTGGTCAGCAGTTCACCTGTGAACTGTTAATCAGCCTCTAGTCAGGGAGAGATGTTACAGCGGACTCCACTGGTGGTCCTCAGAACCACTGATCTATGTTCTGTTTGCTTTCCTTCTCCATCTGATTCAGGCGTTGGATGTTCTGCAGAAGCCTGGGAATCAACCATTTATTGAAATCAGGTGTTCTTAAAGAGAGAAACGCCTATAACCTGCAGGACAGTGGTCCTCCAGCACCAGAACGGGACACCACTGGATCCGGTGAAGTGAAGTGGAATTATTGAATGGAAATAATTGCTCAGAGGTCTGGATGGTTGGTTCTTTCTTCAGTATTCATGTTTTTTTGTTTTAGATGTAGCAGAGTGTTGTCATTCTCTGACCCATGTGGTGCAGGTTTGGTTCTTACTTCTCTGGCAGTTGGTTCCTCTGAATCCAGGAGCACACTCACAGGTTCCCTCATCTGGAGAGCAGGACGCTCCGTTCATACAGGAACATGGGAGGGAACAGTTAGGGCCCCAGCGGCCCTCTGTACACACACTGTCACAGTGGATACCTGTACACACGCATGCACACACGCAAAAACACATACACACACATACACACACAATGACACTTTCACATTCGTTCTAACACCTAGTCTAATACTGAATGAGGTAGTGTTTTATCATCTCATCTTTTATAGTTTTTAGGGTGAACTACTACTTTTTTAATGTGACAATTGTAATGATTCATGTTCCTCATATTCTGCCTGTCGTGTTGGTTGCCCGTCCTGCACTAATCAGCATCATAGTTCACCTGAGTTCTGCCTGATTACATCATGGAGCACACCTGTTCTTTCCTCTAAACCTTCAGTGATCTCTGCTTCTCTGCAAGATTGTCTGTAGCCTTTTGTCTCAGCATTCCAGAAATTCATCGTTCTGATCTACCAAGCCCAGTACCACGTTCACGTTCCTGGATTGTCTCTGCCTAGCCCTTAAAGGATTTGACTGCTTTTCTGACCTCTGGACTCCGACCCTGTTTTGAACCACGGCTTCTGATCCTAGTCTGCTCCTCCTGCTAAGTATGCCTGCTTCTGCCTCTCTGTTGATGTCCTTTGCCTGTTTCTGAACCCTGCCTATGGACTGAGTATTTGTGGATAACATTTGTCTGTCACAGAAGAGGAGACATATTCACAGACAGAAAGAGGAGGGAGAGTTTTCTGTCTAAGGAACATCCTGGGGAACTCTCCAATCCAAACCAATGTTTCCCCCTGTCTCTGCCACATTTTCCCTCTACACTGACCCCTCCAACAGTACTTGGCTGCAGAGACCCAGCTCATGGCCAAGCCCTTACTCCTTTAATAAAGTATCTTTTTATATATTTTATAAACTCCTGTGTGGCTGAATTCCTGGTCTCCAGAAAACCCTTGTGTAGATTTTACCATAAATCTCTGGAAATATCCATCAAATTGTTAAATGAATTAAATGATGCCCAGTTGTTGAAAAATACTGGTGGCTTCTCAACATATAACTATAAAAATCAGGTCTAAAATACATTGGAGCAAGTCTGATTTTTAGCGATGCAATGTTAGACGCCATGTTTCAATTTACAGCCCATGAGGACAAAACACATTTACTGATTTGTAACAAGCAGTTAAACTCTCCTCCTTGAACCTTATCGTGGTGGGGGAGTTTGAGTGCCCTAATGATCCTAGGAGCTATGTTGTCTGGGGCACTTTGTGCCCCTGGTAGGATCTCCCATGACAAATTGGTCTTAGGTGAAGGGTGAGACAAACAGTTCAGAGGATCTTTCATGAACTATCAAGGAGTCAGAGTACCCGGCCCGGAGGGTTACCGGAGTCCCACCCTGGAGCCAGTCCTGGGGTTGGGGCCCGTGAGCGAGCGCCTGGTGGCCGGGCTTTCGTCCATGGGGCCCGGCCGGGCCCAGCCTGAACTGGATACGTGGGCTCATCCAACTGTGGACCCACAACCCGTAGGAGGAACATGAAGGGTGCGGTGCAGTGTGGATTGGGTGGCAGACCGAGGCGGGAGCATTGGCGGTCCGATCCCCGGACAAGGAAACTGGTTTTTGGGACATGGAACGTCACCTCGCTTGCGGGGAAGGAGCAGGAGCTTGTGGCAGAGGTTGAGCGGTACCGGCTAGATATAGTCGGACTCACCTCGACACAGCATTGGCTCTGGAATCCAAGTCCTTGAGAGGGGTTGGACACTCTTCTTTGCTGGAGTTGCTCCAGGTGAGAGGCGGAGGGCTAGGGTTGGCTTTTTGTTAGCCCCAAGACTATCTGCCTGTGTGTTGGGGTTTACCCCGGGGGACGAGAGGGCAGCTTCCCTGCGCCTTTGGGTCAGGGAATGGGTCCTGACTGTTGTTTGTGCTTATGGGCCAAATATCAGTTCAGAGTACCCACCCTTTTTGGAGTCCCTGGGACGAGTGCTAGATAGCGCTCCATCAGGGGACTCCATTGTCCTGCTGGGGGACTTCAATGCTCACGTGGGCAATGACAGCATGACCTGGAGGGGTGTGATTGGGAGGAACGGCCTGCGTGTCCTGAACTCGAGTGGTGTTTCGTTATTGGACTTCTGTGCAAGCCGCAGTTTGGCCATGACGAACACCATGTTCGAACATAAGGATGCCCATCGGTACACTTGGTACCAGGGCATCCTAGGTCACAGGTCGATGATAGATTTTGTAGTCGTATCATCTGACCTGCGGCCGTATGTTTTGGACACCCGAGTGAAGAGAGGAGCGGAGCTGTCAAATGATCACCACCTGGTGGTGAATTGGATCAGATGGCAGGGGAAGATGCCACGTAGACCTGGCAGACCCAAACGCATAGTGAGGGTCTGCTGGGAATGCCTGGCAGAAGAACCTGTCAAGACGGTCTTCAACTCCCACCTCCGGCAGAGCTTTGACCGCTTCCCGAGAGCAGTGGGGGACATTGACTCTGAGTGGGCCTTGTTCCAGTCTGCGATTGTTGAGGTGGCTGTTGCTAGCTGTGGTCGCAAGGTGGCCGGCGCCGTACCCGCTGGTGGACACCAGAGGTTCGGGGAGCCGTCAGGCTGAAGAAGGAGGCCTTCAGGGCGTGGCTGGTGTGTGGGTCTCCGGAGGCAGCAGACAGGTACCGGATAGCCAAGCGGGGTGCAGCAGTGGCAGTTGCCGAGGCAAAATCTCGGGCGTGGGAGGAGTTTGGTGAGGCCATGGAGAAAGACTGTCGATCAGCTCCAAAGAGGTTCTGGCAAACTGTCCGGCGCCTCAGGAGAGGGAGGCAGCAACTCACTCACACTGTTTACAGTGGGGATGGGGAGCTGCTGACGTCAACTGGGGCTATAGTCGGACGGTGGAAGGATTACTTTGAGGAGCTCCTCAATCCCACCAACGCGCATTCTGTGGAGGAACCAGAGCCGGGGGATCTGGGGGTGGACAGTCCAATCTCGGGGGCAGAAGTTGCTGAGGTAGTCAAACAACTACACAGCGGCGGAGCACCGGGGGCGGATGAGATTCACCCTGGGAATCTCAAGGCTATGGATGTTGTAGGGCTGTTGTGGTTGACACGTCTCTGCAACATTGCGTGGTCATCGAGGGCAGTTCCTGTGGAGTGGCAGACCGGGGTGGTGGTCCCCATCTTTAAGAAGGGTGACCTGAAGGTGTGTTCCAACTATAGGGCGATCACACTCCTCAGCCTCCCTGGAAAGGTCTACTCCAAGGTACTGGAGAGGAGGGTCCGATCGATAGTTGAATCTCAGATTGAGGAGGAGCAATGTGGTTTTCGTCCTGGCCGTGGAACTGTGGACCAGCTCTATACCCTTGCAAGGGTGATGGAGGGGGCATGGGAGTTTGCCCAACCAATCCACATGTGTTTTGTGGATTTGGAGAAGGCTTATGACCGTGTCCCCAGGGGCACCCTGTGGGGGATGCTTCAGGAGTATGGGGTGGGTGGCTTTCTGTTAAGGGCCATTCAGTCCCTTTACCATAAGGAGCGTGAGTTTGGTCCGCATTGCCCGTAGTAAGTTGGACCTGTTCCCGGTGAGGGTTGGACTCCGCCAGGGCTGCCCTTTGTCACCGGTTCTGTTCATAACCTTTATGGACATAATTTCTAGGCACAGCCGTGGTGTGGAGTGTGTCGAGTTTGGTGGCAGGAGAATCTTGTCTCTGCTTTTTGCGGATGATGTGGTCCTCCTAGCTTCATCCAGCTCTGATCTCCAGCTCTTGCTGGGTAGGTTCACGACTGAGAGTGAAGAGGCTGGGATGAGGATCAGCACCTCAAAATCTGAGACCATGATTCTCGACCGGAAAAGGGTGGCTTGCTAACTCCGGGTCGGGAGAGAGGTCCTTCCTCAAGTGGAGGAGTTTAAGTATCTCGGGGTCTTGTTCACGAGTGAGGGTAGGAGGGATCGGGAGATCGACAGGCGGATTGGTTCGGCATCTGCAGTGATGCGGACGCTGAACTGATCTGTCGTGGTGAAGAGGGAGCTGAGCCAGAAAGCCAGGCTCTCGATTTACCGGTCGATCTACGTCCCAATCCTCACCTATGGTCATGAGCTTTGGGTCTGGGACGTAATTTTGGGGGGGGACGGGTGGGACATGTCCCCCCCACTTTTTCAAAAGGCAGTTTCGGTCCCCTTCACTTTTTTCCGTCCAAAAACAATATTACGCTCCATTAAATGGATTGGATTGAGCACTAGGACCGAAACGGAAACCGGTTTCCTATTAGACCCACCCAAAAGCTAATCTAAAGGCTCTGCTGATACTTGCTAACGTATTATTGGCTGTTGCTGCTGTCACTCCAAGTTGTAAACAGAACGTGCTCACGTTGTTTTGCTAGTTTGGAGCCGCTAGGGAACACCGGTACTGAGTCACATCGTCAACTAGACGCTGTGTAATATCAGAGCTCAGCTCAGCTTCCATTATATAACATTTGAATAAGTGTTCATTTGTGAGTCTTTGGTAGTTATGCACAGCCAGGCGGCAGCATGTCAAGAAACGAAAGTGGATATAAGAGACTTCTTTCAAAGTCAAAACGTAAGTTGGAACATGTGACACCCCTGCATTAAGCTCAGACTCACCTCCTCCTTCACAAACATACTCAAAACTAACTTTTACAAACTCATCTCCTCCACATAACTGACTCCTCAGACACAATTTATTCGTATTATTATAATTATTATTATTTATTATTATTATTATTACTATTATCATCATGATTATTATTACTACTAGTAGTAGTAGTAGTAGAAGTGTAACTTCAAAACTTTTATCATTTAACTTTATTGTAAACTTAGCTATTGCAATGCATATTTTCACATTAAAAAGCTCTGAAAAATGAACAGTATCATCGTCAACAGATTTTTTAAGCTTAATGTCAAAGATGTACACTTTTCATTAGATTTATCTTATTTTTTCCATTTATTTTTTGTGTTGAAATGCAACAACTGTTTAAACACTTTTAAGGGAAAAAACATATTTAATATGTTTTTATACACTCAAATTGGTAATGAATAATTTACACATTATATTAATAATAATTGTGAATCATACTAGAACCATCCTGTAAATATTTCTGTTTGTTCCATTCCAAAATCTCCCACTGTTTATAGTTCATGCATCTTTTTTTCAGGTGACTGACAGAGATGCAGGAGGAGAGACCGGTGAAGGTACAGCAGGAGAGGCTGTAGGAGATGGAGGACGAGAGCCTGGAGGAGATGGAGCAGAGGCTGGAGGCTCACAGGTGAGGTTGAAATAATGAAGATACGATAGACATAAAATTGATCATGTGTAAAACATTAGTTCAGCATGTCCTCTAGCACAGCAAATGAAATAACGGCCAGATCTCAGGAGGGACCGTTTATGTATAAATACTTTTTATACTTTTGACTAGGCCTGGGAAAGTAACAACTTTTGCTGGATGATATTTTGTCCAACAAATTGTTGATGATAAACGATATCATTGTCAACATTATCTAGACCAAAATAACCACTAATATAATGTTAATATATCATAATAATGCAAGTACACCCTTTAAAATGCAACAAATAAACCTTCATTTAACATTGAAATGTCCAGAACCAGAACTTCTAAATGAATAAAAATAACAAAAAAAAATTAAATAAAAAAAAGAATCTCACTCCCTGTTAGAAAATGTTGCACCAAAAACAATAAAAAAAGCCCCAAAACAATAAATACAATGGCCTATCCATTGTCAACAGCCAAAACTGCACTTCAATAATGATAATAAATATTAATAATAATAGAGTTGTACATTTTTTAACTTTGATATATATATATATATATATATATATATTGAGGATGGAAAAATTATTGAGATGGGCATGTGACGTGTCAAAGGGTCTTTACATAACACCCCCCACCCCAAATCCGCACAAGCCTGCTGTGTCCCCCCCACTTCTGAAATCAAAATTTCGTCCCTGCTTTGGGTAATGACGGAAAGAACAAGATCGTGGATACAAGTGGCCGAAATGAGTTTCCTCCATAGGGTGCCCGGGCTCAGCCAGGAAAAATACACATGGTCACTTTAAGACCTAATGTTATAATAGCTCTATGGTCAATACCAAACATGTTGATTACATTTTTTGCACTAAATTCTTCTCACTTAAAGTGATCTCAGCAGTTTTATTCTAGACAGTTTTAGTACCTTCTAGAATGAGTAATTTCAGGGCTGTGTCACTTTAATAAACGAAATAAATGAACACACCCATCAATCCCCCCAATCTTCCTTATTGTGACATCACAAATGGGGACTGTTTGGAACGTCTAGTTTTAGGCACGCAATTCCTAAACCCAACGGGTGGACGGGCTTTATTCACATTTGGAGTATCTATAGAGGCAGTAGACACCCACATGGCAGCACTAATGGATACAATAGGTCAGTCTCCTTTAACATAATTTTACAGTGATCCCTCATTTATCCCGGTAGATGCGTTCCAGACCTGGCCGCGATAGGTGAAAATCCGTGAAGTAGGGACACCATATTTACAGTACTCATTTAACAGGTACGTATTCAGTATTCAGACTTTTAAACCCTCCCTTTACATAGAAAAACATTTTTACTTGGTTTTTTTATAGTTTTATTACAAAAAGTGCATTTTATGATGAAATTGATGAAAAAAAACAGGAATTTCTTGATTTTTCGCATAGGAAAATACCGCGAATCGGTGAAAAATACCGGCGAATTTCCCTTGAATAAGGCTCCAAAGAAAAAATCCGCGAAGTCGTGAATCCGCGATAAATGAACCGCGAAGTAGCGAGGGATCACTGTATTTTTAATTTGTGGGTTCTCTCCAGGTACTCCGGCTTCCTCCCACAGTCCAAAAATATGACTGTCAGGTTGATTGGTCAATCTCAATTGTCTTTAGGTGTGTGTGCATGCTTGGTTGTTTGTCCTGTGTGTCTCTGTGTTGCCCTGCGATAGACTGGCAACCAGTGGGTGTACCCCACCTGTTTGCCCGAAGACTGCTGGAGATAGGCACCAGCCCCCCGCGACCCTGCGTGAATAAGCAGGTAAAGTAAATGGATGGATGGATGTTCCCAAAGGTCCTTAAGAGGACATGGAATCAGTTGTGATGAATTATGCGTTTGTTCTTACCAGTCCATCCAGCTAGACAGCGACAGTGTCCAGTGGAGTGGTGACATCCAGCAGCATGACTGCAGTCACAGCGTTCCTTACAGTTTAAACCGTAGGTCCCCTCCTGAAGAAGATCACAAAGGTAAACACACCCTCTCACATGAATGTTGACTTGGTTTTTAAAAAGCTTTAGCTGCATTTCAATCAAAGAGCCCATGGGCCTCATTTATCAAGCTTGCTTACGCACAAAACGGGGTCGGAAAACTGCGTAAGCAACTTTCCACGCAAACTTTGGGATTTATGAAAGAAAACTTAGCGGAAAAATGTGTGCAACTTTAAGTTGACTAAGGACCTGGCTTACGCACATTTTGGACATGGAGAGCACCTGCAGTGCTGCTGCTGAGAAGGATAAAATTATGAATTCCAGCAGCATTATCATCACTTGTACTTCTTTGTTTTCTCACAGAACAAGACCCCCCACACACACGCGCGTGCACACAGATGCGCGCACACTCAGACACACACACACAGCCTGAATGTCACAATGTAAGCCAGGAGGAGGTTAGGACCCAAGATGCAGACCCAGGATGGCAGAAGTAGTGAGAATGTAAAATCCTTTATTAGGAATAATTGTCCAAAAGTAAAATCAAAAGGGCAGGAAGCCAAAAACCGAAATCCAAAAATCCTAAAGCGCAAACCTAGAGACCAAGTGACCAGGAGAGGGAAACGAGACAACGCTGACACAAACAATGGACCGACAACACATTGTGACGCAGACAGGGTTATATACACAGGGGCTGGGTGATTAAGGGAACTGGACACAGGTGAGACTAATAACAGAGAGGAGGAGCAGAATGGAGCAGGGGAGGAAACCAGACCTAACTGGGGAAGGAAGCAAAAATGAACCAAAGGGAGATACTGTCTAAATGATCCAAACATGACAGAAACCTAATGATAAGTGGGGTGACTAAGGGAAGCGTGAGGGAAACCTTGAGAGAACCTGGAGTGGGCTGGGGAACACAAGGAGACACATAAGGGGAGCCTAGAGAGGGATGGGGAACACAAGGGAACACGTGAGGGGGACGCAGAACATGACAGTACCCCCTCTCAATGGGCGGATACCAGACGCACCCAAGACAAGTACAACACAGTACAGGACGAATAACTGGGGACCACAGGGGCAAAGAGAGACCCAGTGAGTCCGAGGCATGGAGACTCCGGGAGGTCGGTGACGGGGAACCAGCAGCTAGGACCAGGGGGCTCTGGGAGGCCGGCGACGGGGAACCAGGAGCCGGGACCTGGAGGCTCTGGGAGGTCGGCGACGGGGAACCAGGAGCCAGGGCGCAGGAGACTCTGGAGGATGAGGGGACGAAGACTCTGGAAGAGGAGGAAGGGACGAAGACTCTGGAAGAGGAGGAAGGGATGAAGACTCTGGAGGAGGACTGAGGGGCGCTGGAGAAGGAATGAATGATGCTGGAGGAGGACTGAGGGATGCTGAAAGATGAGGATAAAGTGGGGACCTTGGAGGATGAGGATGAAGTGGGGACTCTGAAGGAAGAGACGGGGACTCTGCAGGCATAGACCGGGACTCTGCAGGCGTGGGCTCTGCAGACGAAGACGAGGACTCTCGGACTGGCTGGGCCAGAGGCGGAGCCTCTTGGACCGGCGGAGCCGCTGCAGGCGAAGCCTCTTGGACAGGCTGACCAGCTCAGATCTCTGGGAAGAGGAGGAAATTAGGCTGAGCTGGCGGCGATGGCGGGTGGAACTCAGGCAGGGGTGTCAGAGCAGGAAACACCTGGACAGCCGGTGCTGCTCTGACCTCAGGAGACTTCTGGTGACGGTTGCAACGTCTTCGACACAAGGAGGTTCGGCCCATCAGAGGTGCAGAGATGGCGCCAGATGCCACAGAGGAGGAGGAGTGACAGACCACCGGAGACTATGAGGTAGCGCTGTCTGGACCAGGTGAAGGTGTGGTGGCTCGGCCCATCGGAGGTGCTGAGATGGCGCCGGTTGCCGCAGATGAGGAGGGTGACAGCCCACTGGAGATAATGAGGTAGCGCTGCCGGGACCAAGTGGAGGTGTGGTGGCTCGGCCAATCAAAGGTGTGGAGATGCGTATGGTAGGAGGTCGCAGGTTGAGGCCGAAAGCCACCAGAAGCTCCTTCGCGACAGGCCAAAAAGAGACCTCTTCTATGGGGTGAAGGTCCAAGTAGAGGGCGGCCCACCGCAGGGCTCTACCTCCCGAACAAAGCACCATGAATGATAATTTATTGAACTCAGAGGAATTCATGTCCAAGCAGCCAGCACAGACCTGTATAAAAGTCCAGCAGGTTTCCGGGTCACCATTGTACCTGTACATTTGCCGTGGTGTCGGAGATCCTGGAGATTCTGCTGGGTCCTGGGTTGGTCAGTCCATTCTGTCACAATGTAAGCCAGGAGGAGGTTAGGACCCAAGATGCAGACCCAGGATGACACAAGGCAGGAGTAGTGAGAACGTAAAATGCTTTATTAGGAATAATTGTCCAAAAGTAAAATCCAAAAGGGCAGGAAGCCAAAAACCGATATCCAAAAATCCTAAAGCGCAAACCTAGAGACCAAGAGACCAGGAGAGGGAAACGAGACAACGCTGACACAAACAATGGACCGACAACACACTGGACGCAGACAGGGGCTGGGTGATTAAGGGAGTTGGACACAGGTGAGACTAATAACAGAGAGGAGGAGCAGAACGGAGCAGGGGAGGAAACCAGACCTAACTGGGGAAGGAAGCAAAAATTAACCAAAGGGAGATATTGTCTAAATGATCCAAACATGACGGAAACCTAATGATAAGTGGGGTGACTAAGGGAAGCGTGAGGGAAACCTTGAGAGAACCTGGAGTGGGCTGGGGAACACAAGGAGGATGCAGAACATGACACTGAAGTGCAGAATACGGAATGCTGAATATCAGCAGGGGGACAGAATGTCATGCGTCTGTGACAGTGTGTGTGTCCTGTCACTGTGACCCAATTGATCATGCGCCCTGGCTACCTGGACAAGGGAGATATCTGTTTGGCTGACTGGGTAGCGCGCATGACTTTCACCTGGGAGTCTGGGGATTGAATCCTGATTGGATCATTTTTTTATATCTGCCACAGATCTTTCTGAAGAACTCAACATTGATGGCTTCAGCAACGCTTTGCAACTCCGTGGATTTTCTCTTTTTTGTTTTGCAAAAGCACTTCCTTTCATTTCTCCATCTCACCCACAAGTACCTCAATTTCTGCTTCTGTGAAATTGTGCTTCCTTGATCTGCCTTGATCTGCGGTCGCCATGTCATTGGCGGAGCGCTGCAACAGCTGGCTTATGTATATGCATGAGGTCCACAAGGCACTTTGCATTAACTATTTATGGCAGTAAGTGGGCGTGGTGAGGGCGGGATGTGATTAAAAAGCAGCTGAGAACCTTTCTAGATAGTTTCTGATTTATGAAGCGGAGATTGCGTGCAGCTGTGCGTACTCCATTTTTGATAGATCACAAACCTACCTTTTTTTTTGCTGAGCTTAAGTACGGTTTTAGTAAGGATTCTACGCAACGTTTGATAAATGACCCCAGAACTGTACAATCTCTGACCCTTTTTACGGGTACATTCAGTCATGGCTTTTTGACATCAGTACAAAGATCTAAATTACAGGAAGTATAAGAATGAGCTGTGGAGACACCCTAGATCCTGAGTGAGTCAGGTGAAGTGGACAGTAAAGAGCAAAATAAAAAAACAACACACATTATGGGAAAAGAAGGGTCATATACATCACAACCTGAGCCCAAGAATCAGAACTGAGCAACGTAATTTCTACTTTTCTAACTTAAGCTGAAACTTTACTGATTATGAATATGGAAGTCACCAGAGTCCGAGAGCTGAACTATAATTATCTTGAATTAATTAAAAGTCATGTATGTTGCATCCTGGTGGCCCTACCTGGCAGCGAAGCTGGCACCTGTCTCCTCTCCACCCTGGAGCACAGCTACAGCGACCATCCAGTGCACTGCAAGCTCCTCCATTAGCACAGTTACAGGTCAGGTTACAGCCCAGACCCCAAGTGCCACTGGGACAGCGTATACCACAGTCCACCCCGTGCCAACCTGAGCAGGAAAAAGTCAGACGTTAACTTCAGTCATCAGTATAACTTTGTTGCTCTACTAAAATAAGTTCAGCTGGACAGTGATCCAATAGCCCAAATTAGAAACCACATACCCCTACTGCAAGTCACAACAAAACGTCAAGCTGCCGTCAGTTGAGTTTTCAGCTGAATAAATAAATACTGAAACACTGATCCATGCTTTATTGTCAGCAGGTGCTACAGAGCTTGGTCATGTGTAACCATTCACAGTGACGTTGAATTAAAAAAGACAGCGTTCACAATATTTAAAACAGTGTTTATAAATCAGACAGGTGAGATTAACGCATCTGTTACCAGGAAGACAAACCCTGACCTGTGGTGATACAGTAAACTGTCTCCCTGCTCTGTGATCCTCTACCGAAACTCTCATTAAGTGAATTTAATAATGTTAAAGTTCTGATGGTTTGTAATCTGCAAGTCTGGGCGGGAAACATACTAAATATGTTTTAAGATTCAATGGAAAAGCACTTCAGAACACTCCAGCCCAGTCTCCGTCCCACATTTTCCTTTTTCTCTCATTCTTTTCTTCACTTCCACTCAAGTCTCATCCTGCTCTCACCTGGTTTACAGAAACAGGATCCGTCGGCAGGCGAGCACTCGGCTTTGTTCTGACATTTACAGCTGGATGAGCAGTTTGCTCCAAACTTCCCAGCAGGGCACGAGACTGAACATCTGGGACCCTGAGACAAAAACACACCAACAGGTCAAGGTTGTTCGGTCTGTTTACAACTCAGACACAAAGCTACAGGCTCTTAGGTCTACTATGGACCGCTTTGGGTCCTTCAGAAGCATCAGATTGCTCCTCACCTCTAAAACTTACCTTCAAGTCCACGACTACCTTAAAAAGAACCAGTCAAAGCTGATCAGCTAAAGACAATGTTTAGAAAAGCTTTAACGTTTTTATTAAATAGATTATTATGGTTATCACTAAAACTAAAGGTAAAACCGGATGTCATTCTAGTGAGGGGCATTCTGGGGATGTGGTGACTTATCTGACCTATTAGTAAACTTCCTGTTGGTGATGAGAGACTGATCGATGTTGAATATAAAGCAGCTTGGTGACAGCCTTGAGAAGAATTCAACCAGGTTGGTATCATCAACAAACAAAATATATATTGGTTATATATATTATATTCTCAACCTCTGAACCAGAAAACAAACCAACAAGCATCCCTGCAGCACACTGCTGTAGTTTCTACCTGCTGCCACTAGATGTTCATACAGACCCATAGATTTCTGCTACTTAGTGAGTTCTAAATGAACGTGTGAGCTGAAATGTCCTTCATCTTCTTAGTTTCTGTGAAAAGTCGAACCTATTTGAGTGAAAACCAGACGAAACCTTCTGCAGGTGCATTGGGGAATGACAGCCGAGTTTACCATGAAGCCTGGAGCACAGATGCACTCCCCGCTCACGCTGTGGCAGTCGGCACCATTCTGGCACTGGCACACTTCACTGCAGGATTTGCCATAAAACCCCGGTGTGCACGTCTCATTGCAGTAGAGTCCTGCCCAGCCCGGCTGGCACGTGCACTCCCCTGACATTGGGTGGCAACTGGGTGAAGAAAGAAAAACACATAAAAATTACTCATCACAAAGCTGCAGCGCAGGTAGATGACCTGTCCAATGGGAGGCGCCGCTAGAGACACGTGATGTTCTCATGTGGAACTTTTACACCCATGTTCTTTAAGTACATCTAAAACATAAAAAAGCACAAGTGCCAGTGAGAGTCAGGACACATCGAAGACCAGGTTTCATCAAGCAGATCAACACTCTGGTCAGGCTGGGGGGGGGGGGTCAGACTTCTGTATTAGAGCCATGTGTCCAGAATCCCAACAGGATCCTCTTTCGGAGCTGTGTAACTAACACAAATCCAACACAGATTCAGGCTGAAACCTTAAAATTAGTTCCTGTTCACAAACCCCTGTTCCTCTTTACCGCTCACTGAATCATGTTTCATCTGAAATGTGGTTGTTTTGCTCAGTGATCATGGAACAATCACCAACTCAGGAAAGAGGATGTGTGATCTCAGATAGCAACATTTAGCTCAGTAGCAGTAAAATTAGGGGTTTGCTAATGGTGATTAGCTCTGGTGACCATCTGGAATCAAGATATCGATCCTTCGATTACTGTCTCAGAGTTCACACACATGCACAACACATGGTGTCCATGTCAGCAGATGTGAGGAAGAACCAGTGAGTTTGTGAGTCTATGCAAAGGTGTGTGTGTGTGAGAGAGAGAGAGAGAGAGAGAGAGAGAGAGAGAGAGAGAGAGAGAGAGAGAGAGAGAGAAGCAGCACCATTAAGCAGAAGCACAGCATCTGTTCTCTGAGAACACATGCAGCCAGCAGCTGCTGCAGTCTAATGGAGCGTTCACACAGAAGCCAGTGTGCCACCTCTTGCTGTGACAGTTTGGCCAGATGCTGGAGAGAAGAGCAGCACGCTCAGACCCAATGCAGTTGCTCTGTGACCTGATACCTGAGTGAACCGACTGTAAATTAAATCAACATTAGCTTCAATTTTGAACCGACACAAATTTGCTTTTCCATTTAGCTCTCGATAACTTTTAAAATTTGGATCAAGCTGGCTACTGGAACACCCCCAGGATCAGACTCTCTTCCACCTGGTCACTGTTGATATGCCAGAAGATTGCCAGTGACTGGAAGTGTGGAGGTATGGACACTGTGTGCCCCCAGCATACCGTCCTGCCCTCTGCACATAGGTCAGCTCAGTGCAGTGCACCTCTGCACTGCTGCTGTGCAACATACATGGGTTTGCATGCCTTTTCCACCTCTAGCAGACCAGCCTTTCCTCAGGAACGTTAAACCTCTGCTCTGGTACATATGAGCTATCACAATCCCATTTAAACGTTTAGGTAAAGAGAAGGTATTTGTTGTGTCCTGTGTGATACACTGCATACCTGCGAGTGTTTGGACTGTGGCAGGGACACTTCCTGTCACACTGGAGGCCGTAACGGCCTTCAGGACACAGGCGGATGTCACACCGTTCCCCAATAAATCCTTGCTCACACAGGCACCGCCCACTGGTATGGGAACACTTGCTGTTATTCTCACAGCGACACGTCTGGGAACAGCCAGACCCGTAGCTACCAACTGGACACTCCTCCTGACACCTGTTCAGAACCACAAACATCCAGAAACATCACTGACAGCAAACACAGCCTTCTGTATGTGTGTGAGTTTGAGGTATGTGAGCTCACACACCAATGCACGGTCAACACACACATAACAACTGGTTGAGTCTTTTCTGTAGCCACTTATCAGACGCTGACGACCACATTAGCACGTTTATGAAGAAGGGTGTGGTGGGTTATTTTACGTCTGCAGATTTAATATGTTATAATTAGTATGCTCAGAAGCCAAAATAACATGAGACAATCATGCGTACGTACCACACAAAAAAGTATGACCATTTCAGTCCGAGGAGTGGTTTGGTGGAACAGCGTAGAGGTAAACATAAAAAAATGCAAAACTGTTGTACAATTCAAAACATTAAATAGAAGAAAACTTTTGGAAAACTACTAATTTGCTAATGAATTATGATAGACATTAAGGACTTGGTAAAGCAATCAAAGTCAATAAGATCTAATTTAGAATTTGGATTTTATTTAAGATGTAAAAGTTTAAGTGTTTATAAGATTTCTTGCTAATGTGAAAATTCTAATTTTGCGTATTGATTTTGTTTATGATGTATGTGTAGAGATGTTTATTTGGATTTTGGAAATGGAAAGATGTTGAGGGATAGGACAATGAAAAGCCTTGAGCTTCTCCCTATTCCCCTTTAAGGACCAAAGAGGAATCTCTAAATCTTCTAAATAAGAAATGTTTATTTTGTATTTGATTTTAATTAGTTTAAATGGTCTGAAGTGAATGAATAAACAAACAAACAAACAAACAAACAAACAAATAAATAAATAAATAGTCCTGAAGCTCTTTATTAAAACCCAAACTGATGATTGCTGTCTGGCGTTGGCCCTTTGGGGACTACACTTAGAACAACTGCTGGACCCTTTAGTCATCAGGGAGGAACATTAATCCTTTAACAGGGCTGAAATATCCTGAGAACATTTTTATCCAGTCCTTAATTATTTCCTGTGATTACTGTGTCTGCAGGGAGAAGACTGGATTGATGCTCTGAAATTTCTCTCTACATTACAGCTGAAACAAATACCTGAGAATGAAAATGGGATAATTTTATTTTGTTACTACTCAGTGACTTGATGCAATTTGCTGGGTTCCTTATATAGGAAACATTTTTTCTGATTGGCTTAATGAACTGACCTGAATTGGAATTTTTATTATGTGAAGTGCCTTGAGACGACTCTTGTCGTGATTTGGCGCTATATAAATAAACTTGAATTGAATTGAATTAATCTCTCACCTAATCCCAGAAGAGATCTAGATCTAGGTGTGTCACGTCTGCATCAGCACCATTCTGTGATGTTTGGCTCGCTTCAAACCGGTATTTATTTCTATATGAGCCAGAGTGGGGTTATTTGTGTCTCCCTGCTATAAGATATCTAATTACACAGCACACATGATGTGATGCTGGTAATTATGGGACTGAACGCCTGGAGCAGGGCTCAGCTGAGACCGTTCTGTGACAAAACCAGTTGGTAATCCTGATTGAATTCTGTCCTCTCAGTGGTGTGTCAGAACCGTATTTACTATGTAAAAAAATACATTCTTACAGTGTGTGTGTGTGTGTGTGTGTGTGTGTGTGTGTGTGTGTGTGTGTGTGTGTGTGTGTGTGTGTGTGTGTGTGTGTGTGTGTGTGTGTGTGTGTGTGTGACTACGAGGTAAAACGTGATGTTATTGACTCTAAATGTATTTTTAGGTCTGGATCTGTTTTGTGATAGATGGACAATAAACTTAATGAATACATCGAGAGACAGACAGACAGACAGATATTTTTTATCCTTTCATGTGTTGCACATAAAACTGGAATTAAGTTGAAACAGCTTCAAGATGATGAAGGGAAAGAGGATGACATCACTACAAAGGTTAGGAGAGCTGCCCCTCACCGGTCTCCCATGTATCCTGGACTGCAGAGACATTGTCCAGTGGTTGACAAGCAGAGGCCGTTATTGTGGCACTGACATTCCTGGGAACAATTCAGTCCAAATCGTCCTTCTGGACAGGGCTGTCCACACACAGATCCCTGGAAATATCAGCAACAGAAGAACAGTATCTTAAGAGTCATTTAAAGATATACTAATAAAAATAATAATAATACGTTTTATTTGCAAGTGCTTTTCAGACCCTCAAGGTCGCTGAACAACAAAAGTAAAAGCAGTAAATAAATTGTGCAAGCAGTGCAAAATCAACAGTCAATGAAAACTAACATGAAAATAGCATCAATAGAACAATGCTGAAATAATAAAATTTAGCGCTGACAATCACATAAATAGATAAAATCACCTAGAGTACACCATACACCTGCCTAAATAAGTGGGTTTTGAGAGGAGATTTAAAGTGTTGTACAGAGGTGGTCAAGCGAATTGAGGAAGGGAGTTTATTCCAAAGCCGAAGGGATTGTGAGCCGAAGGACCAAAGACCCATGGATGACAAACAATCTTGTGGTATAGTCAGTGAGTTGCTAGATGAACAGAGTGTGCGATGGGGTATAAGGTAGAAGAATGTTTGTTAGGTAAAGGGGTGCAAGATTATTTAGAGCTTTAAATGTCAGTAAGAGCATTTTAAATTGAATAAGATAAGCAACTGGCAGCCAGTGCAACTCAGAGAGAACCGGTGTAATATGTTGTTTAAGCTGAGTCTTGGTGATAACGCGAGCTGCAGAGTTTTGTACCAGCTGTAGTTTCTGCAGGAGTTTCTGTGAGATCCCAGAAAGATGACAGCTTTGGGTAATGACCGAAAGAACGAGATCGCGAATACAAGCGGCCGAAATGAGTTTCCTCCGTAGGGTGGCCGGGCTCAGCCTTAGAGATAGGGTGAGGAGCTCGGACATTCGGGAGGGACTCGGAGTAGAACCGCTGCTCCTTCGGATCGAAAGGAGCCAGTTGAGGTGGTTTGGGCATCTGGTCAGTATGCTTCCTGGACGCCTCCCTGGGGAGGTGTTTCGGGCATGTCCTGCCGGCAGGAGGCCCCCGGGTCGACCCAGGACACGCTGGAGAGGTTACATCTCCAATCTGGTCCGGGAACGCCTTGGGGTCCTGCCGGAGGAGCTGGTGGAGGTGGCCGGGGAGAGGGCGGTCTGGAGCTTCCTAGTTGGGATGCTGCCCCCGCGACCCGGACCCGGATAAGCAGAGGAAGACGACGATGAAGACGGGGTGTGACTAATGCATTAACTAAAATTTTGGCATCGTTCCGAGTAAGAGATGGTCGTAGCCGATTGATAATGTGCAGTTGAAAGTAACTAAACAAACCACATTATTAACGTGAGCAGAGAAAGACAAATTTGTATCCAAGTTGACACCCAGACTTTTAACCTGTGATGAAAGAGATAGGATCTTATTGTCGAATAGGAAAAAGGGAAAAACTGATTTAGTAATCATAGACTTAGTTCCGACAAGAAGAATTTCGGTCTTATTGCCGTTTAGTTTTAAAAGACTGTGAGCAAACCAGGTTTTTATCTCATCCAGACAGTTGGTCAGTGAAGCAATGGGCAGAGAGTCATTTGGGGAAGAATATGGATATAGCTGGGTGTCATCAACATGACAGTGGAAAGTGATGTAGAATAGAATAGAATAGAATAGAATAGAATAGAATACTGTCATTACACCCAAAGACAAAGAAATTCAGGGTGCTCTCACCTACATAGGACTAACATATAAACAGGTAGAAAAACATGATAAAAACACATTTAAAAACATGCAAAAGCACAGTAATATAATGAGGTAGAAAATCAGTATAAAAACATGATATAAACACATAAAACATGATATAAACACATAAAACATGATATAAACACATAAAACATGGTATAAACACATAAAACATGATATAAACACATAAAACATGGTATAAACACATAAAACATGGTATAAACACATGGCAGATACAGAAGAGGAGGTAAAGACGTGAACAAAACTGTTGGTACCCTTCGTTCCAAGAAAGAAAGACCCACAAAGGTCACAAAAAAAACTTGAATCTGACACAAGTAATAATAAACACAAATTCTATGAAAAATTACCAATGAAATTCGGACATTGCTTTTCAATGTATGCTTAAACAGAATTACAAAAAAATAAATAAACTCATGGAACAGGCATGGACAAAAAGGATGGCACCCCTAGAAAAGCCTGAAAATAATGTGACCACAGGGACGTGTTAATTCTAGGTGTGCCCACCAATTAGCATCACAGGTGTCTATAACCGTGTATTCAGTCAGTGGACCTGTATATAGGGCTCCAGGTAGTCACTGTGTTGTTTGGTGACGTGGTGTGTACCACACTCAACATGGACCAGAGGAAGTGAAGGAAAGAGTTGTCTCAGGAGATTAGAGAGAAAATGATAGACACGCATGTTAAAGGTAAAGGCTATGAGATAGAAGATGATATTTTTCTGTTTTATTCTGAAACCAGCTGTGTACTACTGTTGGTAAATGTGCAGACTGATCGTCAGGCACCTGGAACCCAAAAAGCTATGTATCAAGTCAGATTTATAAGGTTGAATTACCGTCCATCCTGCAGGACAGGAACAGTCTCCAGTCACATGATGACACACTCCTCCATTCTGACACGGACACCTCTCCTCACACTGCTGCCCGTGTTTCCCTGGAGGACATAGGCGTTCACAGCTGCAAAGGAAGCAGAACAGAGTCGGGTAACTGTGGCCTATCGCTCATGGAAATGAGATTTGACATCTCGGTGGGTTTTTTCATAAAAATAAAGGAATAGATAAATAAAAATAAATTAAGGGTTGCTTGCGTCCTTTGTCCCATATGATGATGGTGCTTTGGAAAAAGAACAAAAAGTAAAGAATGACAAAATGTAACATTCTGTGAATAAAAATTAGATCAAAACAAAAACAAAATCATGTTTTTGCCAGGTTAGCTCTTCCAGCACAACTGGGCTCATCCTACAAACACAGAAGACAAGACTACTCATGGAGAAGGAAAGCAAGATGTAACACACACACACACACACACACACACACACACACACATACACACACACACACACACACACACACACACACACACACACACACACACACACACACACACACACACACACACACACACACACACACACACACACACACACACACACACACACACACACACACACACACACACACACACACACACACACACACACACACACACACGCACGCACACGCACACACAGGCAAGTGATTATCATAATGAGACAGGAGCAAAATAATACTACAGACAACAGGCCTAACTAATTCAATAAAACCAGAAAACCAACATATGTTTCCTGTGGTCCTCATTCTGATTCACCCACTGAGATCATATCAGCATCCAGTTTCTTGGGGAGCAGACTTTGTTATTGATTTCTGGATTAAGAGAATAATAAAAAATCAAAATGATGGAACCAGAAATTCATTATTTAGGAGTTGCTCCAACAGCGGTGACCTCCTCAGACATCTTCCACTAAGTCAAGTTTGTTTCTAACAGAGAAGGATTCTGTGATCTGATTTTTCAGTAGTGACGACATGAATTATGCTAATTACACAACCAAGACAGGAGTGAAAGGAGCCACCTCCCTTAGGCTTCAGGTTGTCCAGCCGAAAGAGGCGGGCTTTATCCATCCATATCTTTCTTTGTATCTGACACAGACGGCCATTAACCACTGAGTTGACATCTAATCTCTGTGGATGTTGTTCTGTTGTATGGACCTTAAACCTCTGAATAAATAATGTTAATAATAATAATAATAATAATAATAATAATACATTTTCTTTAAAGCACCTTTCAGGGAACCCAATGTACAATAAAATAATAAAAATCCAGTTAAAAGTGAAATTAGCTAAAAACAAATCACTCATAAAAACCTGAGGTAAAACAGAACAAAAATCAAATAACAAAATATTGAACTATGTCATAAACAGTATGCAGTCTTGAAAAGGTGAGTTTTTAGTTTAGATTTGATGGGAGGGAGTCAGAGTCCCAGATGGCTTGTGGCAGAGACGGGGAGCAGAGTAACTGAAGGATCTGAGGCCCATTGAGGTAAGACGGAAGGAAGGAACAACAAGGTGGACAGAAGATGACAAATATGGGGAGTGGACTGGAGAAACAACTTGAATGAGATCAGATAGATATGGGGGAGAAAGACTGTGCACAGCTTTGAAAGTGAGAAGTAGGACTTTGAACTTGATCCATTGTTTAACTGGGAGCCTATGGAGATGCAGAAGGACCAGACTGATATGGTGAGACAGGGGAGTGCCAGTGATGACCCACAGCAGAGTTTTGAACTAACTGGAGCTTGTGGAGGGTTCTTTAAGTTAGACCAACCAGAAGTGAGTTACAGTAATCAATTCAGGAAGTGACTAAGCTGATGAGAATAGAAGCAGAATGGGGAAAGAGAGGGGCGCAGGCGATTAATATTACGAAGATGAAAATACGCTGACCGAGTGACGTTACCGATATGAGATTTAAATGAAAGATTGCTGTCAAGGACGACACCCAGGCTCTTAACCTGAGGGGAGGGAGAGGTAGTAGAGGAGTCAACACTGAGACAAAAACAGTCAGCTTAGGATAAGGTGAATTTTGTTCCAACAACGAAGATTTCTGTTTTGTCACAGTTTAATTTGAGGAAGTCAGTGGAGAACCATGACTTAATTTCAGTTAAACAGGGGGACAGAGGAGGGAGGGAGGCTTTAGGTTTGGAAGGCAAATAGAGCTGGGTGTTGTAGCGTACTCAAAGGTCAAGTTTTCATCAAAATGACCAGAAATTAACTTTTTAATTTGCAGACACAAACACCCCATCTGTCTGGTCTCCAAACAAGAAAGCACTGCTCAAGACCTTGTTCCCGAACAAGGGAGCCATAATATCTTTGCTCAAGGTCTCATGCAGAAGATGAGACCTCCACTCTCTGAATAAAGTTCATCTTCCTTGAACCATAAATGACTTTTTAAAATTTGATAATTGCATAAGTGTCATATAATCATTTCTTGTTCAATCCCAAAGTGTTTGAATAATGTGTGCCTTAATGTGTTAAAATGAATACTTTTCCTGCAGTGATTCTTTTCAGATCTTAAACTACAGCAGATCAGTATTTGTTGATTCAACAAGTTAATCTATCAGTATACTCATACACATTATAAGATTATTATCAATGTTTAACATTTTTGCTGCACATAACTGTTTTAACATTTGTACTTCACACTAAGAGTTAACCTCTCTCAGTGTCTGACTGAAGGTGTGACTTCTGAGGTATTTTGGTAATGCCTTTAATGCCTTTTTAAAATTCTGATTTGCCAAATTTATCAACAAAAGTTGATAAAACCAGGAATCACTTCCTGATCTAGTCGGTTCTTCCGTTCTTCTTTGTGAGCATGCATTTGGAACCATCCTATCTTTTGACCCAAAGGTCAAAGCCTCTCTGCAACACTTGTGAGTGATTTCAGACACAACAGCTCTTTTAAGAGCCACCCAACACCTCAGACAGACATCTAACCTGCAGACCCTGATGCATCTCATGGCCAGTGAAAGCTGAATTCAAAGGGAGCTACAACTCTTTGGATTCTCGTGGTCTTGATGTCTGGTGAAGTCACCACTTGGGACGCCTTTCTTTTGGACAGCCGGGAGCGACAGTCACACAAGGATATCGTAGACTCTGCACATTAGCATTGGATGGTTTTACAAATAAAGTTTAGCTTCTCAAACCATATAGCCTAATTGATTTTAAACCCAGACTTGACTATCTCTATCCTCTCAGATACTTAAGAAAGGTTTTGCTAAAACATCTAGCTCATGTTCCATCATTTCATTCATCAACTGTTATCTGTACAACCATCACTCCATTCATACATTGTCATGTGGGCAATGGTGGCACAGGAGTTAAGTTCTCTCCCCGTAATCGGAAGGTTGCAGGTTCGAGCCTCGCTCAGTCTGTCGCTGTCGTTGTATCCTTGGGCAAGACACTTAACCCACGTTGCCTGCTGGTAGTGGTCAGAGGGACCGGTGGCACCAGTGCTCGGCTGCCTCGCCTCTGTCAGTGCACCCCAGGGCAGCTGTGGCTACATCGTAGCTCATCCCCACCAGCGTGTGAATGTGTGTGTGTGAATGGGTGAATGACTGATTGTGTTGTAAAGCGCCTTGGGGGGTTCCAGGACTCTAGAAGGTGCTATATCAAATACAGGCCATTTACCGTGTAAAATCATTTAGTTTAGGAATAAAGAATAAAAGTCATTTGTATAAACTATATTCATGACTCTGTCTGAATTAATGTGAAGTGTGTGTGCGCCCTGAACTCAAAGAAACCAAAGTCTTCTGATTAAACATTCAAAGACCAATCAGATTAATATTTCATATTTTTGTGGAGTATCACATCTTATTGATCATTTAATATACAGGTGCTGGCCAGTAAATTAGAATATCATCAAAAGGTTGAAAATATTTCAGTAATTCCATTCAAAACGTGAAACTTGTACATTATATTCATGCAATGCACACAGACCAATGTATTTCCAATGTTCATTACATTTAAATTTGATATTCATAAGTGACAACTAATGAAAACTCCAAATTTGGTATCTCAAAAAATTAGAATATTCTGAAAAGGCTGAATATAGAAGACACCTGCTGCCACTCTAATCAGCTGATTTACTCAAAACACCTGCAAAGGCCTTTAAAAGGTCCCTCAGTCTTGTTTTGAAGGCACCACAATCATGGGGAAGACTTCTGACTTAACAGCTGTCCAAAAGACAATCATTGACACCTTGCACAAGGAGGGCAAGACACAAAAGGTGATTGCTAAAGAAGCTGGCTGTTCGCAGAGCTCTGTGTCCAAGCACATTAACAGACAGGCGAAGGGACGGAAAAAATGTGGTAGAAAAAAGTGTACAAGCTCTAGGGATAACCGCACCCTGCAGAGAATTGTGACGACAAACCCATTCAAAAATGTGGGGGAGATCCACAAAGTGGACTGCAGCTGGAGTCAGCGCTTCAAGAACCACCACGAGGAGACTCATGAAAGACATGGGATTCAGGTGTCGCATTCCGTGTGTCAAGCCACTCTTGAACAAGAAACAGCGCAAGAAGCGTCTCGCCTGGGCCAAGGACAAAAAGGACTGGACTGATGCTGAGTGGTCCAAAGTTATGTTTTCTGATGAAAGCAAGTTCTGCATTTCCTTTGGAAATCAAGGACCCAGAGCCTGGAGGAAGAGCGGAGAAGCACAGAATCCACGTTGCATGAGGTCCAGTGTAAAGTTTCCACCGTCAGTGATGGTGTGGGGTGCCATGTCATCTGCCGGTGTTGGCCCACTCTGTTTCCTGAGGTCCAGGGTCAATGCAGCCGTCTACCAGGAAGTTTTAGAGCACTTCATGCTTCCTGCTGCTGACCAACTTTATGGGGATGCAGACTTCACCTTTCAACAGGACTTGGCACCTGCACACAGTGCCAAAACCACCAGCACCTGGTTCAAGGACCATGGTATCCCTGTCCTTGATTGGCCAGCAAACTCGCCTGACCTTAACCCCATAGAAAATCTATGGGGTATTGTGAAGCGGAGGATGCAATACGCAAGACCCAACAATGCAGAGGAGCTGAAGACGACTATCAGAGCAACCTGGGCTCTCATAACACCTGAGCAGTGCCACAGACTGATCGAGTCCATGCCACGCCGCATTACTGCAGTTATTGAGGCAAAAGGAGCCCCGACTAAGTATTGAGTGCTATACATGCACATTCTTTTCATGTTCATTCTTTTCAGTTGGCCAACATTAGAGAAACAAACATTTTTTCATTGGCCTTTAGAATATTCTAATTTTCTGAGATACCAGATTTGATGTTTTCATTGGTTGTCACCTATAAATATCAAATTTAAATGTAATGAACATTGGAAATACATTGGTCTGTGTGCATTGCATGAATATAATGTACAAGTTTCACGTTTTGAATGGAATTACTGAAATATTTTCAACCTTTTGATGATATTCTAATTTACTGGCCAGCACCTGTATGTAGCCAATCCTTAATGCTACAGTGTCATCTGCAGCAGTGGAAATGAATTTCACATTTCCCGGAATATGTGACCTAGCGGTAGAAGTTAGATAATGAAGAGAAGGGGCCCCAGGACAGAGCCCTGGGGCACACCTCTAGTAACCTCTACCCATAGTAATATTATGTCTAACTGTAGACAGGAAAATCAAGCTGTGTGGATACATTCTTCTAGCCTTTAGATGGTCATTAATAGTCTTCTAATCACCAGAGACAACCCTGTTCTTGTCTTTCTGTGGTTCAAGTTCAGTGTGGTACACACCCTGACACCAAACAGCACTGTGACTACTTTTCACCCTTTAAACATGCAGACTGACTGAGAACTAGCCTAAAGACAACTGTGATGCTGACTGCAGGACACACCTTGATTTATAACATCTCCATGGTTCTGTCAGTTTACATCTTTACTATGGAGCAAATAAAAATATTATAAATGGCCTGTATTCATATAGCACATACTGGGATTTTCAACCTCAAGGCACTTTACAACACAACCAGACTACCCACTGTGGCGGTGCGCAGGAGGGGAGGGGCCGCTGGGAGCTCGTCGCTGCGCACTAGGTGCCAATTACCAATCAGCTTGAGGCTGATTACAAGGGCCAGTGCCGCAGAAGGAGAAGAGATGAAGAAAACGTGAGAAGGCTTGTGGCTCTGAGTCTGCAGAGCAGCGTTGCAGCTACACAATTCCATAGGAATAAATAAAGCTGTGAGAAGCAAAAACTGTGTGCTCTCTGTGTGTGTGTGAACCCCGGTGTATCTGGTAAATGCTACACACATGCAAACATACATTCACATGCTGGTGGTGATGAGCTACACTGTAGCCACAGCTGCTCTAGGGCACACTGACAGAGGTGAGGAAGCCGCACACTGGTGCAAACAGCCCCTCCAACCTCCCCCAATCAGGTCCAAAACGTGGAATGCACCAGAGAAACTTATCTCTGAATTGGCAAATAAAGAGTAAGAACAAGCCTAAACCTGTTTGTCCATGTTCAGTCCACACCCTGGACATTTACCTTCCTGTCAACATTTACATTAGAAACATAAATTAAAGCACGTTGCTCCATCTACTGTAACTTACAAAGCTCCGGTGTATCCTGGTGAGCACTTGCATTCCCCAGTCACATGGTGACAGGTAGCTCCATTCTGGCACTGACATTTCTGTTGACATCCATTACCGTAGGTTCCTTCATCACAGTGGCTCTCGCAGCGCCAGCCTCTGTATCCAGGGGAGCAGACACAGGCTCCAGTAATGGGGTTGCATAGAGCTTCGTTCTGGCACTGACATCTGCTACTGCAGTGGGGACCCCAGTGGTTACTGTCACAGGCTGAGAAGTAGAGAAGAAACACATTGAGCAAGCTGCATGTGGTGGATTTTTCAAAGCTGATGCGATAGATGCAGCTCGGCATAGGTGCCTTTAATAACCTAACCGAATCTTAACCACAAAGAGATAATCAAAATACCCCTCCACACACACACACACACACACACACACACACACACACACACACACACACACACACACACACACACACACACACACACACACACACACACACACACACACACACACACACACACACACACACACAAATGTATTAAACCAAACCTCTTCTTGCTGATTAAACAGACCCATAGTTACGGCTCCAGCTCCTTTGTGAAGGAACAGGACTAAATCCTGTAATAATCACATGTTCTCTTAATGTAAACCAGGATGTAGCTGATGAGAAAACCCTTTGAAACCATAACGTGAAAACCATCTGAGTCTGAAGTAATCAGAGACCTGGTTGCTGTGGCTGGGCAGATTCTGACCTGAACCCACCTCGTTAACCTTGGCCTGATGATTGGAGTCTGAATGAGACCACACCTACAGCCTGATTTATGGAAGATCACATGGAGAAGCCATGGCACTCTCAGAACATGAAAATTACTGGGAAGCGTGCAGGGAGTGAAGAGAGCCAAACCTTTCATTATGGTGCATCATAGAGGTTTGCATCAAGATTGGGAGGAATTGTAACTTTTCATTAAGAAATGTCCGACTGAAGTAAACTATCATGAGTCGTGTATATCCTTGTACTGATTTTGGTGCAGGCTTGTGAAAACAATTAGCTCTTTTCTTTCTGACATTCAAAATAAAAACTCCTCTGAGCATTTTAGAGGTCAAAAGATGTTTATAAACAACATCCAAATTGTTCACAGATGTCTGGGTAAAAATTTAATCACAGTGAAGTGTTTCAGAGGGCTAAAACCAGATTTAGATTTAGGGGTTTTATGTGTGTCAAGTCAGAAAATGTCCTTCTGATGCACAGAGGGTTTCAGCACCCAGAGACTTAATTCAGTCCAATCCAACAGGTATATTGCAATCCATTCATAAAGTACTGTTCACTAAGCAAAAAGGAGGTGCGCTGAGCTATGTTGCATGTCAAAACCACTATACAAGACAAAACAACTGAGATTCATGATGAGTACGTCATGCTGCCATGATGTTAATGCCTCAGTCAGCAGAAACCCAATGAGGCGCAAACTCTAAAGGTTCTGCAAAGGTGCCACGGAAACAGTCCAGCAGAAGTATGATGCAGGCAATCAAAGTGCACATGGAGCGCCATGACCATGAGGCTGGAAGAGTGCGCAGGAAGTTCTGTGTTGAATACAGATCAAATTTTCTTTGTTCAAAGTGGGAGAAATGACCAGAAGATCCTGTTCTCAAGAATGACAAACCAAATGGACACTGCGGTGTCCAAAACGGGAGGACACCAACAAAACCTAGTTTGTTGTAACTATATGTTTGAGCTCAAACTACTTAAAATAATCAAGTTTGCCTGGTTGGCCCACCGAAAACCTGGTTCATACCAGTTTTGACTAGGTGGTATTGAGGAGCTCTGACACGACAGAACAGAGAAGCACAGAACAAAGAGGGAGAACTCAGATGCACTTAGGTTATAACAAGTAAGTGTTCTACCCCATGTTTGAAGCCTTAAGCCAATGACCAGACTTCAGTCACCTTAAAACTGCAATTTATAGACTAAACCCAACCCAGCCTAACCCAAATCTGCAAAACAGAGGTGGCTTTTGAATACAAACACAGTCACAGAACTCTCACCACTCTCGTCAACTATCTTCCTCGAACCGCGTCCGTCTGACACCGAAACCCACATTGCCAGAGGAAACGAGAAAACGCTAAACACCAGCTGCCGTTTCTAGGTCCAAATGTCTTGTTTCCTACAACTTCAAATGGTGTTTTCCTTTTTGGGACTCTGGTAGTTTGTCCTAAAGCTGAAGTGGTAGCAGCCGGCTGTATCTCCTTCTCTGATATTATTGAGCGGAGAACTTCTCACAACAGTGGTGTTCTGCTACTGAATACGTGAGTGTGTGATGAGTGGAGGACCCAGGGTAGAGCGGCAGTTTGACAAGACCGACATTCGGATAGTTTTCTTTTGATCTGAAATGTGTTATTGGTGGAAGTTTTTAGACTAATGCGAGAGAACCACTTTATTAATTTTTTTTCGTTTTTTAACCTCCATAAAACAGTTATAGCTATTCTATGTTAGAACGTTGTTAAGAGGCATGAAAAATAACGTTTAATTCTAGCTTGTTTTGCAGATTTGCCAATGCAGCGTTAACCTCTTGTTCAGACTGAATAGTCGATATAAAAGAGTAGAAATTAGAGCTGCAATGAACAAACTTTTCTCTTCTCTACCTCAAAAATTAAAAAAGACTTTTAGTTCAAATAAAAAAGTTCCACATGCCCACATCTATTCATGTAAACCGACTCATAATGATGCTACATTTGTTATGTATGTGCAGACCACAGATCACAACACTATTTTAGTATTCTGAAGAAGTCCATGTCATTAACAGACCCTTTTTATTCCTGCATTAGAGGGCTCTGCTCTGAGGAGATAAAAGTGCATGTTTCTCTGTCCTCAGGCAGTCTGGCCCAGTTTTAGCTGCTGTGGTGTCCGAGGAGAGAGACATATAGGGGACAAAGAGGAGGAAGAGATTTGAGACACTAAAGTGCACATGTAAACCTCTCCTGCATTCAAGTCTGCCATCCCGGTACCTTTGTGAAACCTGACCTAGATTGAAGAAAGACCAAGCTCCTTGTCTACTTCCTGGAAAACAGGCTAATCTCTTTCATTGGTCTGTGGTCAATAAAAAAAGACAGCATTGTGTCACAGTTCAGTCACAAGGGTGGCGAATCAGTCTCATGAAAGATTTCACTTTTTTAAATTTAAAAACTTGTTCCTTGGAGGAATTATGACATTTCAGTGTTATCTAGAATTTATCACAAATTGCTGATGAGGAATCAACGATTTCTCCTCTACTGTAACTTTATTTGTTTACGACGACTCGGCACGGCTCTTCACATGGACCACGGAGACGTGATAGGGAGAAAACAGTCAGCAACGATGATCCAGTAACCTGAGCTGCCAGTTGTTGAGATTTGGCTCATTATTCTCCACACTGTGAAGAGATGGAGGACGGAATGTTTTTCTGTGTAGTGATTACCAAGCCAACCAAGAATGGTGCACTTATGGGAACTGAGAAAGAGTCAGTAAAAACAAAAAAAAAAAAACACATCACAGCATTCCAGCAGATTTCCATGCTGATGTGTTGTCCCTGGAGCTTTATGATCAGATACTAACTAAAACATCCCACTAATTCACAAGTACACAGAAAAGCACACCACCACTGCGCCAAGATCACGTTCTCAGCTCCCAGCAGCACTTATGCAATCAGTGATTAAAGAGGAGTAGAATGCACTTCAAGACTTACTTATGTGTAACTGGGTTTGTGTGTCTCTGGTCACCAAACGATCAAATTTATAAAGAATATAAGAGAAGCTGGAATGACTTTAATATGTGATCATTTTTCTTTTAATCATGATAAGAAGAATCCCCTTAAAGACCAAGTTCACTTGTTTTTGAATACATTAGCAGTGGCCTCTGGTACAAATGAATGCCTTGCCAGTCTTTCTCTGTGGGATATAAGCGGTGGTGCTCCTGTTTCAGCAACTAGAAGTGAGCCAGAGCAGAGGTGAGCAGGTGACAGCAGCATTTAGAGTCTCATTTCCTGATATTCAGACATTTTGCTTCTGATTGGCTAACATCAACACAACTCTTCCACTCCCATGTTTTATCGCCACAAATAACACAAGCCTGAAGGAGTTCTGCCATGTTGTGGAGTTGCTAAGGCTAACGGTTAGTTTCTACTAGCAGAGACACGCTCTGCTCTCTCCTGGGGCCTCCTTTATCAAACATACTTGCACACAGATCTGGGCGTATTTCGTGCGTAGGAACAATTCTATGCATTGTGTGGAATTTATCATTTTGTACTTGTGCGTAGAAACGTTCCTAAATGTAAGAATATCTCTGACCGTGCGTAGGAACAGCATCTAGTGGCAGAACGGGGAAGTGCAATACCGAATGTCTCAGTCATCCAAATGTGTTTCTCATCCACAAATTTAATTTATCCAGTATGTAATGTTGTCAGTGGAAAAATTACGCTTTTTCGCATAATTGGTGCTAAAACCAATAAAAGCCACCTGTGACCGACAGGAATCTGGCATTATATCATGGCTGTTCTGTGTTATTAGAGGATTTAACAGAACGTGCACACTGGAGGGAATGTGTTCTCCATGAGCGCTCTGATCTCAAAGGAAATCCTTCTGCTACGCTGTGATGTGGGACCCTTTGTGGTGCAACAGATAAACCTCACGAATCCGATCCCAGTCCATATTTTATTTTACAGCTATGAGAACCTCCCAGAGCCTCCTCTGCAGACTCAGAGCCCCAATCATACACACCACGTTGCCAAGGTAACCAGACTGAATGACAGCTCAGAGGCTGCACTCTCAGACAACATTTCCAAATAAATCTAACTCCAAACAGAAAGACTCCTCAAATGCAAACGACAACCCGTTACTCTACAATTGATCAAATCCATTTTTTTATTTATTTCTGACAGAAACCTCTCCTCTGTCCCGACCATGTTTTTGTAACTTGTTTGACTCTTTTGCGCTTGAGCTGCCAGTGTTTCCATCTCATTGTCAATAAAGTTCTTCTTGTTTTTCCTGAAACAAAAAAAAAAAACAAAAAAACAGGGAATCCCCTCACAAGCTGAGGATGTAGCATGACCAAATATGGTTAATTGAGGGTGTTTTTCTATGCAAATGGCTGTCAACGGGCACAGCACCTGAGTATGCACAGGTGGGATTTATCAACAGCTGATTGCGGAGGAATGTACGTACGATAGGCCGCCGCATGTTTCATAAATCACACTTTGGGTTGTTCATATGAAGGATAGAATATAGGAACGTCTCTACGAACGTTTGATAAAAGAGGCCCCTGGATATTAAACCAACGACAGCCTTCCCCGTCACGAGCCAAGATGGGTGAGTCCATGAATGCAAAATTTTCAGAGTGATGTAGATCTGTGTGGCTTTTCTAATCTGAGCGTTTACTCGACTATTTTCTATTGACAGCTAATGCAGGAAACAGGAGAAGAAGACTATTTTCAAATTCAGCCTGTATGTTAAACTCAGAGTGACCGATCTCGTTGAACTTACTCTTTAATCATAGAAAAATCAATCCTCTTATGTTGAATGTTTTAATTAAAATGTGACTTATTCTTTAAACAAAATATAATTAAATCCCTAATCATACTAATATTTATCCACTAATTAGTCAATATCTCAGTTATGATTTGTTACTGATTACAGCTCTAGCTCAGATGTTGTCATTACCTAATATCTCTGTGATAAGCTAATATTGGCTCTGCAGCAGCATAATATCTGCTACTATCTCTACAATAATCTGACTTTCTGTACTATCATGAGCCGTTACCCTAACCCTGGTCTGCTTGGTTTTACAGACTAATGTAAGAGAGCGTTAACAAACCTATCAGACACCAGTAACACGATACAAGTCTGGTTTCCCTCCTGTGGTTTTTACAGAAAAACAGTCTCACGAGGCATGATGGGTCACAGCAGCTGGAGCACTTACCACTGGAGCAGTTGGAGCCCCCCCAGCCCGGCTCACACTGACAGGTGTTTGGTGCCAAGCAGCGGCCATGAACACAGCTCTCTACACAATAGGCTGAACATGGAGACAGGAAGAGAGACCAGAAATACATGAGGAAAAATAAGATTGTAGTTATTAAACTTGTCCATTAAAACCACAGATGCTCAAAGTCATGCCCTTAGTTTTTAGAGTTTAGAGCAGCGGTTCCCAAAGTTGGTTGTGAAGCTGGAGGTCTGCAGTTGAGTTCCAGGTTAAAATGATGGTAATGAGTTGGCATAACAATCCTGTTGGAAGGCGTTTGTATTTTCTTGTTTATTCTAGCCCAGACAGACCGTCAAACGGCAGGTCGTGTTCACGAGTATAGGATGGCTTTGGGTCACCTGGCTGTGCTCCTTCAGCTTCCCAGAGACAGCGCTTTGGGCTTCCTGACAGGGTTGCGGAAGGCACTTTATAAATAAAGCTTTGATTGATTGATTGATTGATTGATTGACATTTGGGGGGTTGAACATCTTTGCTGTTTGTAGTTTGCAGAGGTGTGACCAACTCACTGCTTTGCAAGTCACAAGTCTTTCCAGTCAAGTTCAAGTCAAAGACAACCAAGTCCAAGTTGAGTCCAAAGTCAATGATGTGGAAGTCCAAGTCAAGTCCAAGTCTTTTACTTAGAATTTTCAAGTCATAATCAAGTCATCTGTCCAACTTCGATTTAATGACAATGATAATAAATAAATTCCAGAAATAAAGCTTCTTAAAGCTTCATTTATTTGCTCAAACAAGCAGGAAGTGCAACTGAAACTGATTCTAAACAAAGTGCTGCTGCATTTAGCCGTACAAGATCACACCCAGAACGAAGAATTATTTATGACTTTTGTCCATGTTGAGCCACTTTTGTGCTAAAATATCAAATATGCTCAAGTTATCATCAAGTCAATAGATGCAAGTCGATTCAAGTCGCAAGTCATTGGCGTTCAAGTCCAAGTCAAGTCGTAAGTCTTTATAGATTTTATCAAGTCAAGTCAGAAGTCATTAAAATAATGACTCAAGTCTGATTTGAGTCCAAGTCATGTGACTCGAGTCCACACCTCTGGTAGTTTGTGAGTCAGAAGCTGAAACGTTTGGGAGCCCCTGGTTTTAAATATCTAATAGAAAACTAGTTGTGCAATAAGACACAGGAATTAACTTTGCTTTAGCAAATTACAGAGCTGAATATGGAATGTAAATGTGGTTTGTTATTCAACATTTATTTTCATAAGAGCAACAACCATGTTCTAGAAACAAAACGGGAGGACACCAACATAAAGAATAATTAATATTAAGACAGCTAACATATTACTTCCTCTCAAAAGCAGAGCAACAGGGCAGAACATCTACAATTAAATCTGTCTATATTATAATAAACATTTCAATAACTCAGCTTGCTGCATTTGACCTCTAACAGGCTGAAGAATAAAAACAGGAAGGAGTCCATGTGCTCTTTATGCTGATTCACTTGTCTCCTAATCGGAACAACCCTCAGTAGCCTGCAGGATTTGTCCCATTGAGCAGCAGCATGTGACAGAGTTTCACACAACAGAGCCTTTTGACTCAGAGATAAACTCCTCTCTGAGCTCCTGAGGCGCTCTAACACTGTCTTCTATTTTTTGGACTGTACCCGGAGAGAACCCATGCATGCACAGGGAGAACATGCAAACTCCATGCAGAAAGATCCCAGGCCGGGAATCAAACCCAGGACCTTCTCGCTGCAAGGCAACAGCTCTAACCACTGCGCCACTGCGCAGCCCGTAGTTGTTCGTCCTTTTATCAAAACTTATTTTTAGCCTGAGAGGGTTAAACACACACACACACACACACACACACACACACACACACACACACACACACACACACACACACACACACACACACACACACACACAAACTCTACCAGTTGGCTTCAGCAACTTTCACTGGTTACTGTTGCTGCTGACCACCATGGCGTCACACCTGTCACATCCTATGGACTGCTGACAAAGAGAGATGTGTGTGTGTGTGTGTGTGTGTGTGTGTGTGTGTGTGTGTGTGTGTGTGTGTGTGTGTGTGTGTGTGTGCGTGCGCACGTGAGTGTGTGTAAAGACATACGAGCACAAATATCCCCGTTCTCATGGAAGCCTGGACAACACTGGGACTTTCTCCTGTACATGACCTTCTGTCCGCTACGATACGCAATCCGGTAGCTCACCCTGTAAATACACAGGGTCAAAGGTCACATGTAAGGCTAGACCTACAATCATACATCACCTCAAACATAAGTCAAAGCTCACTTACAGGTAGACGGAGTTACCATGACAACAGATATTTATAAAATCATGTATGGTTTCTAAATGTTAAATCTTGAGGTTTCATGACCTGATCACTCACTCACTCACTCACTCACTCACTCACTCACTCACCTCTGTCTGGTGCACTTGAACCAGTTGAGAATGTCCGTACAGCTGGTGTAGTAAACCTGGTCATACTGGTGAGCGTACGACTCCTTCACCGTCACCGTGTAACTATGCAACATTAAGAATTAATCAAGACAAATATTCCAGACAATCAGAACAGTGTAAAAACAGGAAGTTCATTTGACAGCTGAGCTCTGAGTGGGTCAAACATCCAACCTGCAGCTACCTAGCCATTTTAATTACTTCTATCATTTAAACGATTTCCTACCTGCTCCTTCATGCACATCAACCATTAACCTTTAATCCAACCAGCTGCTACTGTTATTAGCTACACGTTGTGTGTACAACAACACAGTTTAATCCCTGAAACAGCAAAGCTCTGTTTAACACCCGCTAGTGACTGAACTGAGAATCTGATGAGGTTAATTCATGAGACAGTCAGGAGGTGAATTTGGTTGTCTCTGCAAACAGAAGAAGATTCATTCAGGTGTCAGATTCCCTCACTAGACCAAACACAGCAGAAGGCAGGGGCTAGAGGATAACACACACACACACACACACACACACACACACACACACACACACACACACACACACACACACACACACACACACACACACACACACACACACACACACACACACACACACACACACACACGCTCAGACCGGGGTCATGCTGATGTTCACGCCTACATCAGGATAACAACAAACAGTTAAATTCATTTATGTCACAAAATTTAACTAATAACTTTCTTATTAATCCCAATAAACACTGTTTTTCTTTGCGTCTGTTCTTTACTTTGTAACAACAACAGCTGTGTGCACATGTGTGTGTGCGTGTGAGTGAGAGAGAGAGAGTGAGAGAGAGAGAGAGAGAGAGAGAGAGAGAGAGAGAGAGTGAGAGAGAGAGAGAGAGAGAGAGTGAGAGAGAGAGAGAGAAAGAAAGAGAGAGAGTTTGCTTTGGGTGTGCAGCTGTTCCGTTGGATTAGTCATTAAAAGGCAGCCTGTCGGAGCTGTTGGTGTTGTTGCTGTGCTCTAACTTTATTAAGGGAAAACAGCCTGTAACAAAACAGCAGCAGAGGGTTCAACTCTTGGTTGACTGTACGTTTGTTTCTGTGGGAACCCTCAGATTTGCTGACAGCTGTGCAAAGCTCTGCCTTCTGGTATTAGAAGTGTGACTGTGTGACCTCCATTTGACTTGAATCAAAAAATGTTTAAGCATTAGGCTGTTGATTTATGAGAGTTTAAACTACAGTATATGCAAAAAAAAAAAAAAAAAGAACCAATCAACCATCCAAGAAAAAAAAAAAGGCTAGCATCAGTAGTGAGTTTCCAGGAAGTTGCAGGATGTAGGGAAAGCCCACTGGGTCAAACATCATCTTTACACAAACCACTGTGTTATTAGCACCGTGGTGTCGTGCAAATTCTTTACACACACATCCAGACACAAAAGCAAATACAGAAGCTTTTCTGACTGTAGCAGTTAAATATTCATGACCCCAAACATGTACCTGCAGAAAAGTCATATGTGCCACAGAGATGCTTAAAGAAGAGCCCAAGGTACTAACTAGCCTGTAATAAAACTGATGAAAACAGCTGTATCAAGCTGGTCTATTAACCATTGTCTTGTTTCATTAATTAAAAACAATTTATTTATTTATGCAGTAAAACTTTATAGATGCATTTCTTTGTTTTTTATTATATTAACCTTCAGATTGGTGGAAAAGGTTGCTCTCTGACTTGTTGCGTTACTTTTTGCAGGTGTGATTAGAAGGAGTCGTGGGATTTTAGAGGAAGGCTTGCATTATCGGAACTCACCTTTCCCAGTGACTGCAAACGTTTGGATCCTCTAAGTTAAGGGAAGAGCAGAGAGGCAGGCAGCAGAAGGTCACAGCCAAAAGGGCTGCTCCACACCAGCGTAGCCACATACCCATCTCAGCGGTAGCTAACAGAACAAGGACAGAGCACCAGGTAAACATCTGCAAAGCTAAAGTATTTAAAAGTAATGTATTAACATCTTTATGAAAACTCAGGAATGACTAGAATACACAGCAAAATCAATGGAAATACAACTGGAATGCTAATTATGGGACAAAATATGTAAAATCTGCTAAACAAGTAATTAAGTTGAAGTTCTGCACTTTCATAATAGATATGTAACTGTTTACCAAGTGAACCCATTTAAAGGAAAACAACTAAAAAAGGACATTCCACATTAGTAACCAGACCATTTTCAAGTAATTTGGGAAAGAAAAATGGATGCGTCTGCTGCTGAAAACCATGAAATAGCTGAAAGCTTTGAATAAGGCATGATCATCGTACTGTTAAGAGATTTGTGGCTTTTTCAGAGGACACTTGGGTTTGATCAGATAAAGGTCCAATGAGGAAGGTTTGTGCCGAATAAATACACCAGATTGCGAGAGCAGCTGCTAAAATAACATTATAAAGCAGCAAACGGGTACCCAAAAGCTCCTGGTGCCTCTGGAGTCCCACAAACATCAAAGTGTGGAATCCTCCAGAGGCTTCAGGTATGCATGAACCAAGAGAAACTGCTGAAATGGGCCCAGAAATGCACAAAGACTAAATGTTCAAATGGTCTTGTTCACTAATGCGTGCGGTGCAGCCCTGGATGGTCCAGATGGATGGAGTGATGGACAGCCACCGTGTCCCAACAAGGCTGCAACGTTAGCAAGGAGGAGGTGGAGTCATGCTTGGGGCGAAAAGCTGGTCGACCCCTTTAGAGTCCCTGAAGGGGTGAAAATGACCTTTAAAAAGCCTGACCATCAATACAAGATCTTAGTGAAAAATTAATGGAACAATGGATGGAAACAAACCATGTGACACCGGAGAAGCTAACTGAAGCATGAGCCGAAATCAAAGCTAACGAGCGTAAATAAACATCAGAGTGTGACCTTCTTCTGGTGGTGACTTTTTGCCAGGCAGTGTGGCTATTATGCTAAGAGCTAGAGATGAAAATGTGTGTGTGTGTGTGTGTGTGTGTGTGTGTGTGTGTGTGTGTTAGAGAGAGAGAGAGAGAGAGAGTGAGAGAGAGCGAGAGAGAGAGAGAGAGAGAGAGAGAGAGAGAGAGAGAGAGAGAGAGAGAGAGAGAGAGAGAGAGAGAGAGAGAGAGAGAGAGAGAGAGAGAGAGAGTTAAAATCAGAAACTGAACTTAATTTGTGATTAGAAAAAAAGTCATGGCTAATAAAGCTTTTAATAACTTGATTGCATTCTGATGCCTTGTGACCCGTCTGAAGTCTGAAAGACGTTTCTTTGTGGAAGGATGCTGAAACAGCTTTCAGAGCACAGCATTTGAAGGGCTTGAAGAGTCTTCCAATACAATATTTGGCAAAGAAACAACATAAATTAGAATATTTTAATGAATAATTTCAACTGATTTTAAAAAAAGGAGAGTAAGAAAGAAGACTATGGTCATTATTTCAGTTTACGTGTATCCTCTTTCAGATCTCAGGTTATACATATCAGGAAGTAGCAGGAACTCAGGTGGTCCTAAGGTGTTAAAATGAGAAATAAATGTGAGATTATCACGACAACTATACTAGATGTTGAATTTCACTTGACTAAATAAACAAAGGCAGAATCAGAGTTTGGAAATTCCCACTGATGTATCCTTAGAGAGAAGACTACACCAAGCCACAAAAAGACACCAAAACATCGTAGAGAAGCAGCTGTTGCTGCCTGTCAATCTGAGAAGGGTCCAGGGTCATTTGGAGCCCATCATCCCACAGAGGAAGAGATTATTCACAACTAGAAAACATTTCAACCAGCTGACAATCTCAGGCACTAAGGACCTCAGTTAGCATGTTAAAGGCCAAAGGTCATGACAGGACGGTTGGACTGAACCAGCCTTGCTTGTTTGAGGGGTTACAGGAGAAAGACTCTCCTCTCTGAAGCTCAGGTTGGAGTTGTTTCATCTGAACCACAAGACTTCTGCAACAGTGAGACCAAAGTAGAGATGTTTACCCATAATGCAGCACAAACAGCTGATCCCAGCTGTCAGCACGGCGTTGGTGGAGGGCTGATGGTGTGGGCTGGTTCTGCAGCTACAGGACTCACTCGGTCCATCATGAACTCATCTGGATTCTAGAGCCTAACGCAAAACCATCTGTCTGACAGCTGAAGCTTGGACCAAACTAGGTAAAATAACTAAACCATAATCCCAAAAAGTTCAGCTGATCTCAAAGAGAATCAAGGTGTTACGCTGCTGCAATCAGAGTCCAGACCAGAACCTGGCTGAGGGTGTGGACCTTCAGAGAAGTAATGAAGAGTAGATCAGAATTCCTCAGGAAACCCCGAGAGAAACTATCAGGTCATATAAATCAGTCCAACCCTTTTGAGCTTGTCTCTGTCTCTTGTCTGTCCTCTCGTCTCAGACCCAAGTCAGTCCAGGCAGAAGACCACCCATCCTGGTTTTGGTTCTGCTGGAGGGTTCTTCCTGTTCAAAGAGAGATTTCCTTTGGACTGTAATTATTATACAATGGAACAATTTAATAGGAACATAGAGGGGAGTAAGAATATATAACTATGGTTCATTTCAATAGTAGAAGTCTATATGCAAACTTTCAATTTATTAAAGCATATATAGCACAGTTTAATCAACCATTTGATGTGATAGCAATATCAGAGACTTGGATAAATACTGGAAAAGAAGAGGATTTTGAGATGGAGGGATATGAGCTCCTCCATCTAGATAGGACAAATAAAAAAGGAGGTGGGGTGGCACTCTATGTTGATAAAAATTTAAGGTTTGAAAAAATGAGTAGAATGACGAGGGTGGTAGATGGAGTGATGGAATGTATAACAGTGGAAATAAATATGAACAAACAGAAAAATATCATTGTTAGTTGCATATATAGAACACCAGGATCAAAGATTGAGACTTTTAAGGACATTATGGAGGACTTGTACACAAATCTGAATCAGAAAAGATTGTTTATTTGTGGAGACTTTAATATTGATTTATTGAACCCAAATCATAATAAGAGTACTGAAGAATTTATTGAGTCAATGTATTGTATGGGATTATTTCCCCTGATAACAAGACCGACGAGAATAACCACTCATGGTGCAACTCTATTAGATAATATTTTTACAAATGTAATGGAAGAAAATATAAAAGCCAGGATATTGATAAATGATATAAGTGACCACTTACCAGTCTTTGTAACTTATGACTGTTGCTATAAAGTTCATAGAAATGTATGCAAGATGATATATAAAACAATTAGAACAGAAAAGGCAATGCAGTGTCTCAAAAATGAGTTAATAAAACAAGATTGGACTATTGTATATAAACATAAGGATGTCAATAAAGCCTATGAGGCATTCTTAAGTATATTCATGGCCTTATTAGAGAAAAATAGCCTACTTATTGAAGTCAACAGGAAAGACAAATATACAGGAAGACCATGGATGACGAAGGGACTGCAAAATGCCTGTAAAAAAAAGAACACCTTATATAGAGAATTCATTAAAAAGAGAACTACAGAATCTGAAAAGAAATATAAAAAGTATAAAAATATATTAACTAACATAATGAGAACTAGTAAAAAAGAATACTTCATCAAAAAGTTAGAAGATAATAAAGATAGCATGAAAGGGATATGAAATGTATTAAATAGTATAATAAAAAATGCACCAAGGAATAATGACTACCCTGGGTATTTTATGGAAGGGACAAATACTATTAGTAAAATGAACGAAGTAGTAGATGGATTTAATGATTTTTTTGTACATATAGGGCCAAAACTAGCCGCAGAAATAAAGGTTTATATGATAGAAAGGGAGACTGGAGGAAACATTGAAAGGAATGCAAGTTCAATGTTTTTAAGAGCAGTAGAAGAGAAGGAGATATATGTTATTGTCAGTGGACTTAAGAACAAAACAAGTACTGACTTTCATGATATTGATATGGTAACAGTAAAGAGAGTAATTGATGGTATTGTAAAACCGCTACAATATATTTTTAATTTGTCTTTCCAGGAAGGGGTTTTTCCACAAAAAATGAAAGTAGCAAAAAATATTCCCATTTATAAATCAGGTGAAAAGCATTGTTTTACAAATTATAGACCAGTGTCGGTACTCTGCCAGTTTTCTAAGATACTGGAAAAACTATTTCTAAAAAGACTTGATAACTTTGTGGAAAAACATGATCTGTTGGCAAATTGCCAGTATGGGTTTAGAAATAACAGATCAACAGTTTTGGCATTGAAGGGTTTAATGGAAGAAATAACTGAATGTATGGATAACAAGAAGTATGCACTTGGAGTTTTTCTAGATCTAAAAAAAGCATTTGATACTGTTGACCACAAAATTTTAATAATCAAACTGGAGAAATATGGGTTTAGGGGTGTGGTATTGGATTGGATAAAAAGCTATGTGATGAATCGACAGCAATATGTACAAATAAATGAGTTTAAATCTAAATTGATGGATATTGAATGTGGAGTACCTCAAGGATCAGTATTGGGACCAAAATTGTTTATAATGTATATAAATGATATTTGTAAAGTATCGAAGATCCTAAAGTTTGTAATTTTTGCAGATGATACCAATATACTTTGTTCAAGTGGGGAATTTCAACAGGTTGTGGAGGTGATCACACAGGAGTTAAAGATATTAAAGACGTGGTCTGATAGAAACAAATTGTCCTTAAATTTAAATAAAACAAAATTTATGTTATTCGGAAATCATAAGAAAGATATTAACATTGAAATTTGTGTTGATAATGTATATCTAGAAAGGGTTAATACCATAAAATTTCTTGGTGTGATCATTGATCATAAGGCCTGTTGGAAATCACACATCACTTATGTGAGGGGAAAGTTAGCACGGGTCATTGCTGTCTTGGGGAAAGTAAAACATTTTCTGGATTGGAAAACATTATATATGTTATATTGTGCTTTATTATTACCATACATGAGTTAT